GGGAATCGAACTCATGCGGAAATGGCTTTAGCTTCTCAGTGCTGTGCTTTAACCCGCTGTGCCACCAGGGAGGGCCTAATTCTAAGAACTTTTAAGGTCACCTACAACATAATGGGTCACCTACAACATAAAGATGGGGTCTGACATTTTATTATACCAGAGTGTAACAGAAAATGTTGTAAAATAAAAGTTAGGAAATATGAATTCTATCTAAGCTTCATCCTCGTCTATGAGACTTGGTATAAAGATACATAAGCCTCCTGGTGGGCATTTCTTTATCTAAAAAACGGTTAATCATATATCACCTAATTATTTATATAGTTATAAGAATGAAAATAGATAGTATGAGAAAACTCTGAAAATATAAAGGCCTTGCACAGGATTAAAACAGAATGAAGCAGGACTTGAGTAATATGATAGAGAGATCCAAGAGGACATCATACCCGTGGCACGAACCTCATTGTATCAACTGGTGTATTGCCATGAACTGTAAATTAGGGCTCCAGAGAAACCAACTATAGAAGCCATGTCTTGAAGAGGTTGGACAGAAAAAAGAAATTTGGGACCAAACAAACAAAAAAAATTGAGAATATTTACATTCTAAATTTAAAATGAGGTAAAAAAAAATCTGTATTTTTTAATGAATGTCAAAATAATCTTAGAACTGTCATTTTAGAGATTTACTCTCAATTCTCACACACAGTAGCCAATAGCTAATGTTGTTATTAAGTACTTGAAGCATGGTGTACTGACTGAGGAAGTAGTTTAAATTTTTAGAATTTCCATCTTCATTTAAAAGCTAATGTTCAATTCAGATACTAGAAAACTGGTATGTTTGGAACAATTGTTTTTAAGTGTGTAACAAGTTGGGGGTGTGACACTATTTCTTCAACTGCAAATTTTATGATAATTAACTACAAATCAGATATTTCCAATGAAAACTTAATGTCCAAATTGGTGGTCAGTCCAAGTATAAAATACACAATAGGCCTTCTGATCTAATATACAAATAATGTAAGAAAATATATTAATGTTGACATATTTTAGCATGTGTCAAATGTATTAAAATTAATTTAATGTTTCAATTGATCTATTTTATTTTTTTAATGGAAGTAATACTGATGTATCACACTACATGATTCAGATATAGGATATCACATCTTAATGTATTTACTCTTCTACATGTGAGTGGTAGTGTATTTTACTCATGTGGCTCACATTATCTTTTTGTTGGTGAGTGGTAGTTTAGAGCATACTTGACTCATATACACTAGCATCAAAGTCCATAGTCAGGACACTGTTTCATGAAAATTAAGAAAATTCCAAAAGAATTAGCATCTTCCATGTATCAGGCATATGAAATGAATCTGGTAGGCTGTCTCTGTATTTTCATAGTTTTAAAACAGTATTAAGTATTCTATAAATACTTCTGGACAGTCAGAAGTTTTCTATCAAGAGTTGGACATAGGAGAAAAAAACCCAGTTGCTATTAAAGTAACTAGGATCAACACAAATATATAGAAAGGATTTAATTGTTCTAGTGTACATTTAACTTGTATGATATTTATGGCTTTTATAATAACCTCTTTTAGTATAACTATTAAACTGACATGCAAAGACTTATCTGCAAATTCTATATAAGACAGACCTGGCTTCCAAGTAATGCTTAATTCTGCACTTAAAATATAGTAGTTTCATTTAAAAAAAAAAAAAGGCAGTAAGAGTCAATTCACATTTTTACTGTATCTGCATCTCCTCCCATATAAGAATATGAAAGCTGAGAATACACATAGTGCCTTTTGTATCTCCAGAAATATGTAAAGAGCTCTACCTTTCAGTGCCTGTGCACCTAGCAGGCACATTCACTGCTGCCTGGTGCTGGGTTTTTATCTCTTACTGTTTTCTAGGCCCTGAATCAAACTTTCTCTACATTTCCACCCCCATTTCCACCTAGGAAGCATTTCCACAAATAAGCCTCAGCACATATGACAATATGTTAGCATGTCCTCACATGGTGTTGTTGGAGCCACTGGGAGAAAGCAGTCAGGCAACATGGAGACAGAGATTCAAGATTTAATTTGGGCTTCAGAATACCGGCCAGCCGGGACCAACACCCTCTAGAGAGTGTGGCCCAGGCAGTTACAGAAACCAGTTTTTACACACTACAGGCAAGGAAACAAAACTTAGTTGTTACAGAGATAACATTCTTGCAGTGGGTCATATGATCCGATCATATGACCCATATCCCGGTCCTTTGAAGACAGTAATCAATTTAATTAATTTGACAAGTTTTCTCCCTCTTACAGCAAAGTTATTTGGGGAATTTCCTATCTCAGCAAGCAGCAAGGACACAGAATCAGGAAAGGCAGTTAGTACAAAATGGCGTTAGGTTGGTTCAATACAGGTCCAACATTCCCCCCCTTTTCTTGTTGCTCTCTGAATTCCTTCAGACTCTCTTCCTCAGTACTTAAGGGAGAGTAGTTAGAGCATAACATTAAGATCTTAACCTCACCAACTTGATGCCACACATAATAAAGAAGGTGAGAAAGGAGAGAAGGCCCGATAGTAAGGGCCAGAAGGAGCATAGTGAGGGGTCCTGTCAAGGCAGAGAGCAGGGAAGTTAGCCAGGGGGACCAGAACAATCCCTGATGCCAGCTTTCATGTGACCATTGAAACTGGTCTTAAACCTTCAGACTTTTGTGTACTAGGTTTATTGTGTCTCTGTTAAGTCCAGAGTTGTTGGCATAGAAGCAACATGCCTCGCCCAGGACTACACATAACCTGGCTTGCTTCAGAAAAAGTAAACCTAGGCCTCTATGGTTTTGGTGTACTACTTCCACCAGGGAGTCAACTTGGCATTCTAACTAAGCTGCGGTGGATTTCAATTGGGACAAGTCCTGCCAGACCAACTCACTCAAAACAGGAGACTATGGCTGCAGTTTTTAGACACCACCCTCCCTGTCTCCCCGTTTCAGTTCCCACACATTAGGATACACATCTAACTGGACTGAGACAAATGATCATTGTAATGAAAGTCTTAGCTTTAGTGGATTCACGGGGTGTGGTCATTTCCTCTATCGCCCCGTGTTTCCGCTGGCAGGGTCCTTCTGTAGGCGAGAATAGTGAATCCAAGACTTTACTCTATCCACCTTTATGGCTGTGGGTGTGGTCAAAATCACCAAATGCAGGCCCTTCCACCGTGGTTCCAGTGTTTGGGAGTCACGTCTGTGGATCCAGACTACGTCACCCACCTCTTTCAACCAGTCCAGGGACAGAAGCGAGCAGTTTCTTCACATGTCTCTCTGCTCCAGGTGGCTCCCTCAGGTCACCTTCTGATTCTCCATCCTGCTTCCTTCTCCAGATTCCTCTCTTCTCTGCTCAGCTCCATCCTCCTCCTGGGTGGGGTAGGGAACCTGGAACTTCACCTTTTCCAGGGGACCACTCTGTTACAATCCCCCCATTTTGATTTTCATACCACCATATCTGTGGTGGCACAGATTTTTAGGGTGCAGTTAGTCCCCAACATTGTCCATGAATGTCCAATATGATGGTTATAACTGGAAAACAATCCATTAGTACCTGTGAAAAACAAATAGACAAACTTCTGGGGTATATCAAAATCACAGGAACAAACAAAAAAATCTGTAAAAGCTTTTTCTTTTCTTTTTTTTTAAAGATTTATTTATTTATGCATACAGAACTGGGGTACAGGCCAGATGTGCAGGGGCAGTGAGAGGGTTCACCAGAGAGAAAGCGGGGAGCAGAACAGGCAGATCGATGAAGTACACTGCTAAGGGGAGCAGCGGGCGTGTCAGGAGACATCTGCCGCGCCATGTGGTTACCTCTGGGCCAGGCAGGGATCGAACTCATGCAGAAGTGGCTTTAGCTTCTTAGTGCAGTGCTTTGACCTGCTGTGCCACCAGCAAGGGCCTAAAAACTGTTTTTTCTTAAAAAAAAGTTGTCTCAACCTTGATCCCAACTTTATCCAACTATGCACAAGTTATTTACAAACACAAGCTACCTTTTAACCATTTTTCTATTTTTGCATAAAATCACAGGGCAGAATAATCAAGTAGTAATTAGTTGTTGTTATTGGCCTTGTTGGAGTCCTCCATACAGGATCAGAGCCAACCGTCGATGTCCAGTACACACAGGCTTCAGGAGCAACGTAGGTCTCAACAGACTTAGTCTGGAGTTTCCTTCCTCAAGGTTACCAGAAGTTTTTATTTTTCTGGGTTGTCCAGGCCTGCGAGTGGAGGCAAGTTTCCTCACCTTCTTTGGAGGTCTCTGGAACCCTAAAACAAAGCAGCAGGTTCTTGGTTCAGTTCTATTTGAAGTTCCTGGAGAATGCCAAGCAAAGCCACTGAAACACATCTCCAATTTCTCTAGTTTAAGCGGACAAAGTTCCCTACTGGAGTTATGCAAAAATAGACTCATTAGTAGTAAATATTACTAACCTGTAAATAATTTTTTCAGAAGCAATTTCTGCAAATGCCAAACCATCGAATATAGTATTTCAGGGCAACAATCATAATTTACAGAAAATATGGTATCGAAAGGTTTTTATGCACTTTTCAAAAAATCAGTGTTAACACTTATGTTCATGCCATGTTTTACCTTTTTCCCAAGTGACAATGCTTCCTTTCCAGTATATATTTTTTTAAACTAGCTAAACCAAAAAGGCCAAAATGATCTAAATGCCTTTCCTAGGAGGAAAGGGAGAAGTGTTGTGGAGTGTCTCTGGAGTTCTACTGAGGTCCCACAAAATTCCCTTTGATGACCCAAATGACAGACTACCAAATTTTCCTTCAAAACCTAAGGCTTTGGAAATAGGAAGAAAAGGTTTTATTAACTACAAATGGTTTTTTACTAATTATCCTTGAGAGAAAGCTATGTAAGTGACCTGTCATTATTGTAGATGACCTCTATGAGTAACAGAAAAACAAACTTACAGATTTTAAAACGAATTACCCAGTATGATCAAGACTTAGGAGTATATCTAATTGTTGATAAGACTTAGTTATGTTGATAGTATCAGATTTTTAGTTAACAAAACCTGAGTATAAGAGTAACAAGATTACAGTACTGATAATACACTACTGAGATATGCACATGGAAATTTTAAATACTTTTCAACCTTTAACACTTGTTATAAAACTTTAGCTTTTACAGTACAGAGCAGACTAAACCTGAAAGTTAATTTTTCTTACAGTAAGGAGCAAAAGATAGATATGAGTGCTAAGTAATTTTAGACATATTTTGTGAGGACAAATAAAAATTTATTAAAGAGATAAGCAGATTTACTTTCCTGGAACAGTACTTGGTTAGTAAGCCAGGTTAATTACTTTTTTTGGTAAATACCATGAGTCTTTTTTTTTTCTCAACACATTTAAACACAAAGATCAATACATATAGAACTTTAAGGCATTCATGCTTTTTGAATCATTAGATTTTGAACTAGTTTGTTTGTAATCTTAGATTGCGATCTTTAAACTTGTTTTGTCTGAATTTATATAGGTGCCAGCTCATAATTGACCCTCCAGAGGTAAAACAAGATCTCTTGACTTGTATTAAAACTTTGGCCATGTGTACCAATCTATAAAAGATAGTTATTTTACCAATATTTGTGAAGACACTGAGAAACCTGTTACTGGCTTCATTTTAGTCATTTAGCAACATTTCTAGATGACACACACCTTTAACAACTTAAGTTTTAAATAACTTAGGTTTTAGTTTGTTACTCCTGATGTTTTGATATACTGGAGTTTTTCAATGAGATACAAGTTAAAATATTTTACATAGAATCAGGATCCAGTTTTAACCATTACAGAAGACCTAGAACCAAAGACAACAGTTTTCAAGATAACTAAGATGAGCAGAGAAAACCTAGGAATGCTTTAAATTTTTGTTTCCCCAAACCAGACAAGGAACCAGTTTCCCTGAAAAAAAAGACCATTTAACTTACAAACCATGGGGACCAAGAGAGGCAATAGAATAAGATTTTGTCTGTTAACCAGTATAGCACCCTATGTAAGATGTTGCCTGTTAGTAAGGCCAAAGTAATTTAAACAGACCTTAAAAGTAGAAGACACAGCAAAATTAGCAATTTTCACTATGGGATAGATCAGGAGACTATATCAAGATGGGGGAAAAGGAGCCAGTTCCCGTGGCTGGGTGGTGGACATACCAATGATCTCAGCTGCTAGCTGAGAAGAATGGGGAGTCCCATACCTGTCAGCCAGGGCGGTTATGCCTTTTGGGTTAATATGAAGGACTTCAGCTAGAATTATGAAAGTGAGTCAGAGAGAGCCCAGAGTAGTCTGAGAGAATGGAGAGACCAGACCTCATCCCAGAAGAGTACCTGAAGGAATGGGGGCAGCCCTGGGCATGGGTGCTCCTATTTGGTGAGCATCCGTATCTTTGAGGAATTTCTCTGGGCCTGGGAGTATCCAGGCCACTACCTGCTATCTGTCCCTGCCATTCTCTCTTCTGGGTGGAAAGACTATGACAGACTTTTTGTCTAGAAAGTTTTTTTTCCTCAAGAAAGATAGCTTGCATTTGGTCCACATATGGTTGAGCTCAATCCCAGTTAACAAAGAATCCCTATGGCATCTAAAAAGATAATTTAAAGTGTAGGACCAGAATCCTAGTTCTGAATTTGTCTTAAGCAGGTAAAACAAGAACGTTTCATATTGAACCTCGAGTTAAAGGCTTGGGTCCACTTAAATAAGTAGAAGAAATCTAGTCCCCATAACAAGAGAATATTGGGAATATTTGCTCCCAGTGGGGAAGCTCTGCCTGAGCAAGAAAAGGCTGTACGGGTTGCTGGCTACTTACAGTTCACAGTTGCAGTTGATCACGATGACAGGCAACAGTGAAAGGTGCAGTCCCAGTTAGGGAAGAGCAGTGATAAGAGGTTGTAGAAAGCAGGTCCAGGTCTCAATTTTAATCTTAAAAGGTGGCAAGCCACAGGGTGGGACATGTGGAATGCTTAATACAAGTTCCTGTGTTGCTGCACCCTTTGTCTTCCGGCTGACAGGACTAGGACTACTAACCCGGGGTGCACACCAGCTTATCCTGTCATGGGAGTCTTCTAGAAAGTGGCAGCTAGCCCTAGTGGCCTCTTACATGGCTGACCCATGGCCACTTTTTTTTTTTTTTTGCGGCGTGAATGAGACCTGGTTGAAATTAAAGCTCAGGAGCCAGCTATTTTCCACAGGTAGAAATGGAATGGCAGCTCGACTGAGAGAGATCAGCAAGGTAGTGCAGCAAAGAGAGAGGAATAAGGCATTTACCCAGTCGGGCCTAGGGCAACTGGAAGGCCGTTTCTGCACATTTTAGGATTTGCCAAAGAGCAGCCTTGGCCAGAACCCCTCAGTCCGTGCAGGTCAGCCAGGCAGTCGCCGAACACCAACTCCTCTCAGAGAAAGAGCATAAGAACTACAAACTGGAGAAATCTTACCAAGGCCATGGAGATACTACGTTGGTGGGGACCAAGTGATGCCTTCCCTTGTAATTCCTTCCTCTATCGGTTAGGGTCACACACATAAATGAAACAAAAATGACCAGACAGACAACATGGAGGCAAACAGAATTCTCAAATAGGTGCCCACAACCGGTGTGGATATTTTCAGGTCGACCCACCAGAACCTGAAAACCTTTCCTAGGGCAATCCCAGCATCCCAGGGTCCTGCCCATCTTGGGGTCTTCCTGTCACATCCAACTGATCCAACCGAGACATAAACCCAGGCGCCACCTGAACCAGTGGCCTGCCCTCTTACCTCCACCTGCCTGCTGCTGTCCACCACGGACCCCAAAGGGAAGAGAGGCCAACCCTGTTTGAGGCTGAGCCCCGACCTTCCTGGCCAACGCACCAAATGTTGGAGCTGCTAGAAGAAAGCAGTCAGGCAACGTGGACACAGATTCAAGATTTAATTTGGGCTTCAGAATACCGGCCAGTCGAGACCAACACCCTCTAGAGGGTGGCCCGAGCAGTTACAGAAACCAGTTTTTATACACTACAGGCAAGGAAACGAAACTTAGTTGTTACAGAGATAACATTCTTGCAGTGGGCCCTAGGATCATATGATCTGATCATAAGATCCATATCCTGGCCCTTTGAAGACAGTAATCAATTTAATTAATTTTACAAGCTTTCTTCCTCTAACAGCAAAGTTATTTGGGGAATTTCCTATCTCAGCAAGCAGGATACAGAATCAGAAAAGGCAGTTAGCACAAAATGGCGTTAGCTTGGTTCAATACAGGTCCAACAGTGTTTAGCATGTCCTCACAGATCAGGTGAGCAGACATAGCGGTTCTGGCTGGAACCCTAAGAGGATTCTCTGACTCCTCTACAGGATCTTCCTACTTAAACCCTCACAAAGAAGGTGTGATGAGAACATTCACCTGTGTGATGGGAACCCCATTCATTCACCTGTAAAATAACTTATGTTTCTTGTTTACAAAATAGAAATATATACCTATAAAGTACAAACTTGATATTCTGAGCAAAATAATGTTCACAAAGTTCATTCACACATTAAGGTAAACAGAGAAAGTTCACCTGAGTTTATTGTATTTCTTTCTTATTGTGAATTTGAAGTACATAGTTAACATATGAATAGATTCTGCTTGTGAAAAGTAAAAAATATTCATATAAGGCTTCATAAAATCTGCTTCTCCATCCTCAGTCTTCCCTGGTTTATTTATGCCACTTGCATTCATTTTGTTCCTAATTTTCAGCATTGGATGTATTATTCAAAAATGACAGAATATCTTATAAGCTAATGCACAGTGAAGCCATGAATATATTTTCTTATTCAAATAGAATAAATAATGAGACTGAGGATTTAGTGGGGAGAAGGGAACAAAAACAAACCTAAGTCATTCTTTTTCCATAAAGGTAAACAAAAGAAATCACATTAAAAATGGAAAGTGTTCTCTTTCTTGTAATTCATAATTCTGTCGGGAACTCTGCCTTTTCCTTTCAACATCATTTTGTCGGGATACACATAAACTGTGCCAAAAGCCTGACTGTCCGGAGCTGTTTCAATAACCCCTTCTAGGTTGACGTGGTGCACACCAAAAGGATCCTCACAGTAGCCACCATCATGAGTGTGACCAGCAAAGAAACACACCACGCACTTGTGAGCCCAAATGACTGCCAGGGCATCATTAAAATTCCAGGCCAGGCAAACAGTGTCAGAAGCTTCTGGGTAAATGGGAAGATGGCCTGTATGAAAAAGAAAGAAGAAATAGAAGCTCATTAAGAAATATCAATTATCCCCAAACAAATGGCTAAAAACTAGTGTTCAGGGGAAAGAAAAAAAAAAAAAGAGTGTATTGTGACTTTGTTATCCAAATGCACTGAAACCAGAAAGAATCCACATGCCTGAGAAACTAGATAATACAGTCATGTCTGTGGAGCAAAAAAAAGGAGAGTAAGGCAAGGGAAAGGCCCACTGGAGAGAGAAACCCTGAAATTTCTCCAAAATGTGAAAATACCAACTTGGTGAAGGGCTTCCTGTTCAGAGGCTCTGCAATGGAGGCCAGAAATCAGGCCTGTGCTGTCCTGGAATTGCACTGAGTTCCTTAAATATGAGCATCATTTATGCCAAAGATGTACTCCCAAAAGCACAGTTGGGGGATGGGCCATGGTTATATGTCGTTTACATAAAACTCAGTGCTACGGAATGGATTTACCACTTTAAACACTTCCATGGGATCACTGTAGCAATAGTCATTTTACAGATAAAAATAACTGGTCAAAGCAGGGAATATTTATACTAGGTCTCAGAGATATGTGGAAGCAGATCCAGAAGAATCTTGAATTCCTGATGCCATATCACATAGCAGACCACAGTTTCACTCTGAAGTGCAAGTACAATAGTTCTGACAGGAATAAGGCCTGGAATGAATTTCTCACTTAAATATTACTACATGAACCATCCCATTTAAATTCTACTTTGAAACCTGAAAGGTTAACTTATAGGATCTAACATTTATCAAGATAAATTTGTCATTTTACAATACTTTCCTAACTCAACTTTTAATAATAATCTTATACTCAAGCTTGTTTATCAATAAAAAAATTTTCATCATTATTTTTAGGTGAACAACATATACACACACACACACACACACACATATATATATATATCTATATCTATATCTATATATATATATAAAACACCTAGTGCTAGTATCCGCTTCTAAAATTTTATGATTTACAAAAACAGGACAGCAAAATAACTTAGATCACTAATGCTATACAAAAATAAAACTAACCAAAAAATTGAAACTCATTCTATAGAAAGAACAGCATGATATATTTTTAGTATTCTTTTAGATTTAATTATTGTCATCCTCTAAAATGCAGTAACAACCAAATCATATAAATACTTACTGACAATCACCACCTTTTCTTGGTTTGTGTCAGAGAATGTAAGAATTGCATTCAACCAGTTCAATTGCTCTTGGCTAAATCCACCATTGAACTGGACAAACTGGGGCTCAGAAAGTCCTGCAACGAATTCAGTGAGTTAGACCCATCAAGTGTTGTGTTTTTCCTTGATTTAAAACAGGAAGCCACAAGAATTTAGAGCAACATACAAATCATACTGTATCTAACTCCTAGTCTTAACATTCCTCTACTTACATCACTAGATTCCTTTCACATCAGAAATAAAATAGACCTCTCAATATGTTCACTGAGCAACTAAAATCATCCTGCTCCCACTGGCCCTTTTCTGCACACACTAATGCCCAAATCCTACTCTGCGTAGTCCCTCTGCATCTGTATTCCTTCTGTCTTGAATACTGTCCTTTCCAAGGGCAACATTTAGGTTTTAGCTTAAATGTTTTTTCTCCTTGGAGAAGCTATCACCTACCACCTAAATTAAAACAGTCCCTTGTTCCTGTTCCACACTATTATTCTTTATCTTCTTGGTAACATTAACACTGTGAACATAGTCGTGTTGCCTCAATTATTTGACTTGTTCTCTTCATTCCATCCATAAAAAGTGATTTTGTCAGTACTGCTTACAGCTTCTGGACAGCTAGCCAAGGCCTAGAGAAGGCCTTGGGTATCTGGTACGTAAGTTTTGAATCAACAGCAACCAATCAACCCACTTGCCATGAGGTCTGTGAGAAATCCTGACTCTGAACAACCATGACAGTACACTTTTACCTTAATCGTTCATCTTTCAGCTGAACAAAAGGTAGCTGAAGAATTTAAAGACTATATTAGATTTTCTCTCAAAGGAATAATTCACCTTCAGGACTATTCAATTCCGTATTTGGATTGTGCTCCATTAGTATCTTCAGACACTGCTGGTATTTTGGAGAAGACTTATCCAAGCCCAAGACACTTAAGTCATAAGCATCTAGCAAAATGAACCGGAATTTAGGAAACGGTGTGAAATGGTAAGCATAGTAGTTCTCTGAAGGCACAGTTTCAGGATGATGTACAATGTGGTCTTCTAGAAACTTTGTGTTGAGTTTAGAGTTTGTTAAATAGTTTCTGCTGAAATTATAGAATTCATGATTTCCCCAAGTATGATGGACAGGGACTTTGAGTGTCTGGAATGTGTTCATAACAAGTTCTAGGGACTTTTCTGATGCATTATGCTGTGCATTAAACCCATCAATGATATCTCCAAGCTGAAGTATACAACAGAGCGGGGTGCTATTCTGGTTCCATTCTTCAACTGCACCCTGCAAATGAAGAAGACTATGTCTGTAGTATCTCCGTCTGGTTCTTTGGAAGTTATATCCATCTTCTAAATCAGCATATTGAATATCTGCTATGACGCCAAAGGAGAAAAGAAGTTCTGAATTCTCATTTTGGGTTCCAGGATTGGTCTTGGCCTCCATAACCTCCAAATTGGCTTCTAGATAAACTGAAATAAAAAGACAACTATGTTATAAACATGATAATTTCCTATATGACCTAAAGTAGTAAAATTAATATCAAACTTAAAAAGTTAATTTCCTAGGTAGGTAGCGTGGTATAGAAAAATATGTGGACTTTAGTGTCTGATGTTCTTAGATCAAATTGCTGACATCTTCTAAAAATTTCAGTTTTTACCACAGAAAAATAGATGGCAACCTCTATTTTTCAGAAGAGTAACTATTTACAAAAAGGTATCATCCTATGAACAAATAGATATTCTAAATTTAGTAAACTCAAAATTTTTAAATTTTAAGAAATATGTGCTAATTTAAAACATACATATACACCCATACATGTACTTTCTTTTATAAATTTCAAAATGATTCTATCAAAACTTCAGGTATTTTTTTGGAAGTTGTATGCTACATTCATCCTTTGTACTTAATACTCTAAGATTCCCATTATGGCTATTTTGTGTCAGTCTGAATTACTTCTTATTGTAGTTGGGTAGATTACCTCAAATAAGTTTCTCATATATTGCATCTGGAGCAAGAAGGGAAGGCAGTAAAAATAAGAGGATAACTTTAAACAAATAAACAAAAATCGACCACAAAAACTGTGGTCATTGTGACTATTTTCTCTAAGTAGTAGTAGTGCCTGTCTTTAATAGTTGCATTTGAATTTGAACGAGCTTTTTAAAAACCTACAGTGAAAATAAAAAATACATCTTATCTTCTTACATATGATCTGTTCCCTGCTATTCCTTAGAAGAGTAACAATATATAAAAGGATACTTTATTACATGAATGAATGGCATTAAGTAACCAAGAGCAATTGCTATTTTACTAGATCATTTATGATCTAAATTTATAAATCTTTTATTTTAATTCATTTGGAATTTCTACAATTACCTTTAGGCAACTTGGTCTCTAGTCATTGCTTACTAAACCTATGGATTTCTTTTCAAGCCTATGCAGATATGTGAAATCCCATCAGACATGGAGGTGCCGAGTCCATAAGCAGCAAAAAGGATCAGAATTCAGTTCAACTTATATGAGATTTAGGGCTTCTTTTCATTCTAAAACTGGGGTCACTAATGGCAGACCTTCCATCTGATCCACAGTTATATGCTTCAGCTACTTTCCTTTTTTTCTTAATCTGACTGGATACAATTAGTCCTAAAACAGATAAAACTGCACTAAGGACAGACACAAATCCTGAAAAATAGCTTGTGTTCTTATGTTTCCTTTTCATTTCCTCATTTCTTCCTGTAGTCCTCATCTGAAAATGCCCTAGAGATCAATGCAATCAGTTGATGAGACTGAGTGAGTTGTATAGAAAAGATAATCTGATTTAAAAGGTGAAGAACTCAGATACAATAAGTACAAAATTCATTTAAATCAGCTGAAAGGCTCTAATCTTACTAAGTTTCTACTATTTGAAATTCCAGTATTTAACTACAGACTTAATAAGGGAATCAACCCATGAGTTTCTGTTTGGGAATGCTTTTACCCCCTGCCAAACAAGTTTTTATCTTTAAACTCTGAGCCTTTATAGTGATAACAAGTACTGTGGGTAAAAATGTACTAAAATAGGTCCAAATTAATTTGATCCTGTCTAGTAAAGAGCTATTATTTTTATTGACCCGATATTTATTTTGTGTTTTCTGGAAACTGCATCCCAAAGTCTTTTCAGGTAACTCCCCAATTTCTCATTCTCAGTTCCTATGATTTACCCTTCACTCCCTGACTGGGAAGGAGAGGGTCAGTCACATCCTCTAACACCCCAGTTTCCACTCTGAAGGGTAGGCACATAACCCAAGATTAGTAGTAAGTATCCACCTCGAGACAATTGCTGGAATTACACCCAATACTGGAACTATTTTGACTCTGCTGATAACTCTCTGGGGATGCTAGAGAAATGTTAACTGACAAGAAACACATCTGAGTATGCTATCTGAAAGCTTGTTGACTTCTGGAAAGAAGTCAACAATAGCTCCTCCTAAACTACTCCTGGTCATGTAATTATAGCAGTTCTCCTTTGAACTTAAAGCCAAAGTGAGTTGGCTTTAAGATTCCCGTCACATGATACCAGTGGGGCAGGGACTGACTCTCTTGACTAGTTCAGAGGCTTTAATTTTATGGTTCAGGGAGAGTTTATACAGAACAATCTACATGGACAAAGAGCAAAATCTAAAAGACACCTCAAGGGGGGATTCTTAGAATTAACAAGCATGTTAATGTTGCCTGACTTTTTCAAAATAATCCCCCAAATACATACACACACAAAAGTGAGTTGATGATAGCAATTGTTGAAGGTAATAATGGGCTTATGATGTTTACTTTTTGCTTTTATGAGTTTTTAATGGTCTACTATATCGTTTCAAAAAAGCTCTCTAAAATTCATTGAGAAAATAAAGTCAGCCAGAATTAGGGAACATAGAGAAATAGTTTGCTTTTGAAAAGGAAAATGGCAGGTTCTTAGTAAAAATTTAGTGTTCTGAAAGGTGTACCATTTACTATATGTTAAGACATCTAAGTTTTAATTAAGAGGTATTATGATAAAATGATGGAAGCTATGAAATTTAAGACTGGGAATTGAATTGTAATCCCAGTTTTCCTTAGAGCAAAATAACCTCATAGGGCTGTTGAGAGACGCAACTGAGTTATACTGTTGCACACAGGAAGCTACTTTGTAAATTAAGCACTAGTAAGAGTTTTTTGATTACTTATTTGTCTAGTAAACTGAAACTACGGCAACTTTTATTGAACAGAAAGTAAAACTTTTAACAAAACTTTCTCCAGTAATTTCTACAAGTCACAGTGCAGCCAGCATTTTGTAAAAACCTCCATAAACATCAGTGATTTTTTTTTTTTAAGAAAAAATATCCCGGGATGCTGAAAGGCTAAAATCTGCCACAAGATGATACTAACAAAACTTTTACAATAATCAAGATTGGTAGAAGCATTATAGATGCTTGTAGAAAGTCCTCAAGTATCTATAATGAAGGACGACATCTATAATGTCGTCTATAATGAATGAAGCCTTAACTGTAAAGCATTGTCTTCACACTCTTGTCAAAGGAAAAGCAGGAAGAGAGCAAGGATAATCAATGCTGAAGGGGGCAGCTTTTATGTTAAGGGAACTACTGCAATAGAGAAAAGTTTGAAATCTGTGTTGCAAGTGTCTTAGGAAAGAGGGGGAAGCAAAGTTATTATATGCAGAGCCCAGAGGATTGGTGGCTATGGAAAGAGGAAAGAGGGGTGGAGTACCTTGAAATATTACAGTAAGAGGGAAGTTCGGGCAGGCGTCCAGGCCCGAGAGGAAACAAACAAATAATATCCAGAAGGGTGTACCAAGTTAGGCCTAGTTGTCCCAATCAAACAAGGGCAAAATTTGATCAGTCTTGTTGCTAATTACAGAACTACTATCAAATAATATGATCTCTGCCCTGCTTCTCACAACAAAAGTCTTTAAGTTAACAGCAAAACTTACTTTGTGACCTTGGTGAGTTAATAGCAGTAATAAGTGATAGATCTACCCTAGATAATGTTTTAGGTATCACTTAACAATGAAGATTAAGGGATTCAGGAAATCAAGTTCAGCGGTGTTATTAGCAATTTACCTAAGGTATAGTTAAACCACACCTACTCTCAGAAACTGTTTAGGCAGCTAGTATTTTATTGAAAGGCTTCCTGAACCCCATTCCAACATGTGTTTAGGTAAGGTTTCCATACACCAACAAGCAATTCTCAGGCACCAGCAGGGTCCAAGAATTGAATCTGACACTGTCCATCTGGGTATAGCCTCAGATGCCACAGGTTAACAATTCAGTTTCCTGATACCTCCCTCCTCTTCAGATGCCAATGGCCAACCCATGCCCAAACAGCTATAGGTCGCTTACACTTCAGGTGCTAGTCACACGTTTAGGTCATTTCCTGTGACCAACTGGGTGTAAATCAGATTCCCATTCAATTCCATTAATTTGACAGAGCAACAAATAGAACCCAGGAACTCACCAATTTATTCAGTTTCTTAGAAGCAGATGAATCTGATGAAAAGAAACAGACTTCTGTCCTCTTATGGCTTGGGGGTCAAGCACAATGGTACAGTAAGCGCTCTGGGTCCCCAACTGGAAAGCTCTTTGAAGCCCCTCCTTTGGGTTTTTATGGAGATTTCATTATAGAGGCAAAATTGTTTAACTCATTGGCCCTTAGGCTTCTCTGAGGTGGTGGGACTAAAATTCCAATATTTAATCTCCAGGCAACTTTTGCACAGTCTTCATCCTTGCCTGCTTTCCAAAAGTCACCTTCTTCACCTCACACAAGATACTACCACTCTCAACACCTAGGGAATTTTAAGGGTTTTTGGACCTATAAGCTAAGAACTGTGGAGAAAGGCCATCTACATATGAGAAATACATTTTGGTCATATGAATCAAGATAAAATGTTTTATGTGGAAAACAAACAGGGTCAGAGTTGTCAAGGTGGAAAACTGCTTAAAATTGTGTTCGGATTGTGCCAAAGAATAACTATTTCAGGAACTATTGTTTGAGAACTCTGAAAGGACATCCTGATCACAAAGGATTGTGACCTTTAGCCACAGAACAGACGGAACAGCCAACACTACAGCCAACAACAGTTTAAGCTCAACACTACATAACTAACCACTTACTTCATCTTCCCTTAAAATTTCCCAACTTTTAACACATATTTTAGGTTTCTATTGAAACTATCTACCCCCAATCATAATTCTTTAATCCCAAATAAACATGATTGCCTCTCATGTCAGCCTTTTATTTTTTATGCTAACACTTCTAATATTTTATAAATATAACATTAAGTCATGTAAGATGTCTCTGTCAATACTCATTTTGGCAAATAAAATTTACAGGCCAACTGAAAACAACACTGGATTAAATCTACTTTATATGATGTGTTTGATTAATTAACCTACAACTGAGCAATTTAAAAAAGGAACAATAATTTTATATGCTTATTGTTTCCCTCATTGAGGAAAACAAATATATAGAAGTGTTTTTAAAAAGAATAGCAGGGCCGTCCCTAGTGGCGCAGTGGGTTGGAGTGCTGCACTGGGAAGCTAAGTGGCACTTCAGTGTGAGTTCGATCCCTGTCCTGGAGAGGATCCACATGGCACAGCAGACCTCTCCTGTCTCGCCCACTGCTCCCCTCAGCAGTGTACTAGGTCAGTCAGCGTGTTCTGCTCCCCACTCTGACTCTGGTGAATCCTCTCGCTGCCCCTGCACCTCTGGCCTTTACCCCAGTTCTGTATGCATAAATAAAATCTTAAAAAAAAAAAAGCAAAGCAGATCAGCAGCTTAAGGATAGTACAGTTAATTTGCTTAAAAATAATTTGAAGTGGGCTTCCCTGGTGGTGTAAGGGGTTAAAACTTAGCACTATGAAGCTACCCACAGCCAGCTGCAGCAGGCAGGGAGCAGACCCACTAGACACAACTGACCTCTCCTGAACTGCCTGCTGCTCCCTCAGCAGTGTATCTCTGTACATCTGCCTGTTCTGACCCCCAGTCTCTGGTGAATCCTTTCCCTCTCCGCACCTCTGGCCTATACCCTAATTCTTGTATGCATAAATAAATCTTAAAAAAATAATTTGAAATGCTGAGCAAATATTTACTTTTGGTAGATATTCCTGCTCAACCTGGGAATCAAGAAATACGAGTGATCCAGTATAAATAAATTGAGTCAGAAAATGTTAATGAAAACAAGGGCTTATTTGGGGATTTTATTTGAGAAATACAGATTCCAGAGGCCTTTCAACTGTGTTCTGAAAATGTCCAGCAAGAATAGGGCTTTTTTTTTTTTTT